ATTTTTTTGTTTGATTTTAGTATGAAAATATTCAAGCCACGCCCACTCAGTTGAGCTTCGTTGGTCGTTTTGGCATAGTTGTACCGGGCGGGCGTGCGGGTGAGCGAGTCGACGTTCTGGAGGTGAGGAAAGTTCTGGAAGTGAGGTCGTACGGTACGGCATGGTATAGTATAGTATATTCCTCAAACATGGTGTATCATGAAAATAGAGTGGAGTGTGACGTCATATGACGTCATACGTGTGACGTCAGATGACGTCATCGATGTACAGTTGATGTGTAAAGTGTGTGATTACTTTGGTTGTTTTGCAATGTTTTAGCAATATTTTAAGGTTGCCACTTGATTTTTAAAATTTGAAATTCCGACTGTGTATATGCGCAGTTTGCTTGTGTATATGATTTGATTTGTATTGAATTGTATTGAATTGCAATGTATTGATTTTATGTTATGTCGATAAAAATAATATTCTTATTGATAGTGATGAATAATTTGTTGAAACTGAATAATTTGTGGAAATAATTTGGAAAATATTTTTGAAAAAAGTTTGAAAATTTTGGAAATTTTTAAAAATTGTAACGTTATGGTTAAAGAAAACGTTAGGAATGAGAGCAGAACGGCGGGATTGCGAGCAGTGGGGAATATGGTGGNTTGAAAATTTTGAAAATTTTTTGAAATTTTAACGTTATGGTTGAAGAAAACAGTGCAAATGACAGCAGAACGGCAGGATTGCGAGCAGTGGTGAACATGGAGGAGGTAAGGACCGGGCGAATGTTGTTGCGATGGAAAATTGGAAGGTTGGAGGGATGTTGTCGTATGAACCATTGGAAAACGGAGATTTGCGTGGGCGGTGGCGAATGACGTCATGTGACGTCACAATTAGATATTGTGACGTTAAACGACGTGATAAATGCGGTGGAGATGAGGAACGGGCGAGTTTGGATGCGATGGAATATGAGGAAGGGGAGAAAAATTCGATATTTTTATGAAAAATGAGAAGGAGACGAGAAAATTTACGTGAAGGGCGTTTTACGTGCAAAATTTGGACGATAGAGGAATTGGGACGGTAAGGGCTGATGACGTCATGTGACGTCACCAGGAGATCGTGTGACGTCAGAGGTTTGGATGGATTTGCGATGGTGAGTGGTAGTTTTGTTATTTGTTACGAGATCGTATTATTTTTATTGTTATTTATTATTATTTTTATTATTTATTATTGTATATTTTTATCATTATTTATTATTATTATGTATTATTATATATTTATTATTATTATAAATTGCATATTAACATTAAAAATACATAATAATCCACAATAATAACCATAATTTTCAGTTTTGATCAAAAATTGACATTTGATCACTAACGTATGGCAAAGTAGAGCGTTCGAGCAAAATGCGCGGGAAAGTGAAATCGCGCGCGCTCGCGCAATGTTATAATAGGTGGTGTCGGCAGTGAACAGTCATTGTTATGCGTTGTGGTGGTAGTGAGCGGTCGGTTGGTCGGATGGTGAGATGTATTGGTGTTGTCGTATTATTTGGTATTGTGTGTTCCGACTGCTCTTCTGTGCTGAGTAACAGTATTATTCCTGCTATAATTTGATACTATTATTAATATTTGTGGTATATTATTACTGTATTGGGTTATTGTTATTACTGTTACTACTGCTATTATTATTACTAATATTATTAATTGCAGTCAATTATTATTTAATATGATGGAGTTGTGATAATGGTATGTGTATATTGTATGGTACTGAGTACTAGTTCTGTCTGGTGTGTATACTGGTGTATATATATTGTCTGCTACAAGGTATTCTGCAACTGCGAGGAGGGATATGGAATGGTGAGTCTTCTGAATTTATTTTTATTTTTCGATTTTTTTTATTGTGGTGTTTGATTATTATTATTTATTGGTGTTAATGATATTATTATTAATATTATTATCATAAATATTATTACTATTATGGTAAATATTATTTTTATGAAAATTACTATTATAAATATTATTAGTGATATTATAAATATTATTATTATGTATCGTTATTATTATTGTTATTGTTTATCTATCACCGTCTTTATAAAGGAATAATAGACTTGAGTAGCTAGACGGTCTAGTTGCTAAATGGCTTTATGAATATTTGATATAGGAGAATGTAATTGAGAAAAAATAGTACGGTATTTGAAGAGGATTAGACGGATTAGTTGATTTTAGAGAGCGAGAGAGAGTGGGAGTGAAGATACTTTGAGAAAATTTTAAAGCGATTTGGAATTTGAGAAGTAAACTATTTGGAGAAGTATTATTTGCTAATGGATTTGTGTGATTTTTATGTGGTGATTGCTTTTTGGTGTTTGTTCGCTGTAGTTTGTAGTTTATAGGTTATAGTTGCATTTTGGGTAATATTAGTTGCGCGTTACTTTAGGAATCGTTACTTTTCGGAAGCGTTACTTTCGGAATCGTTACTTTTGGAAGCGTTACTTTAGGAATCGTTACTTTTTCGTGACGATTGTTACTTTTTGAGAACTTTGGTCTCTGGCAATATTACTTCCTGAAGGCGTTACTTTTTTCCGCTTATCTGGCCGAAGCAGAAGGACGAAAATGATCTAATTTCGGAGAAGGAAGTAGGAATGTGCAAGGTTTTATTTGCGATGACTTTATTTGCGATGAGAGGAAGTGACGAGAAGAGACGACAGACAGGAAATTTGACTGCGAACTTAACTTCTCGGAATATGACGAATTAGTTGGTGTGTTTATTGTGGTGGTGGTGGTCATGTGCTCGTGGTTATCTGATTATTCGATGGTGACATTTCATTTGCGTTGCTTAATGAGATTTCGCGAAAAATGTATTCGATTGAATGCGTTAGATGAAAGATGAAAAGTTTTATTTATTCCATTTGTGTTTTCGTTCAGAAATTATTCTATCAAAAGCAAAAGAAAGTTTTGTTTCGGTCATTTTGTTCAGTTTTGTTAACAAATCTTTATTATTCGTAAATTTTGAGGACGAAACTGTTTTTTGGAGAAGTTATATATTGTATCACTATCTTATCATCGTCTTATCATTGTAATATCACTAAAATTATCACTACTTTATCACCATCATATCACTATCATATCACTATCATATCACTAGCTTATCACTATGATACCACTACCTTATGCCGAGAAATTTCGAGTGTTCTTTGGCTCTTTAGTGTTAATGTGCAATG